ACATCTGTATACCACACATCAAATTTTGGGGCTGTACCTAAGAAGTCAGCGACACTCCAGGGTCACCTATCAGAGGCTATTCGGCTGCTTTGAGAACTTGTTATTGTGTTTTTGCCACAGGCCGTTGTTGTTGGCATTGCAACTGCGTTTTCTTTTTCAGAAAAAAAAAGGAAAGTGGGTAAGCTCATTTTTTTTAATAAGCAAAAAGTTATAAAATAAATAATAATAGTAGTAAATTTACTTAGGACAAGCCAAAGGAAGCAACACCAGGGCTGTGAATTGCGGAAGAGGAGAAGTGCAGCTTTGTTAAAGATACAACTGTCCACTCTCTCTTCTGCCTCTTTCCCTTGGTACCCATGGCATGTCTTTAGAAAGAAATGGAGGACAGGCTCCATAAATTTTCTTGAGGCAAACGGAAACAATCATTAAAAACAACAACTCCGAAATCCAGATGGGAATGTGGGAAGTGGCATAAGTTGGAGGCTGTTTTGCTAAGACACCTGCTTCAAATCAGCGTTGTGCAAGAGGCTGAGTCTCTCTCTCTCTCTCTCTCTCTCAAACACACACATATATACATACACAGCATCTGAACAGCAGTGACCAGGTCACTAGGTGGCAAGCAGCCAGCTAACTAGAGCCTTGGGAATCTTAAGACAAGCATGATAGGAAATGCTAAACTATTTAAAAGAACAGAACTTTATCTCAGTACGGTATTGGGACTTCCAACACTACACTGCAAAAAATAAAAATAAACAAAAATAAAAGTCTAATTTTTGTCACGGTTGAAATCTAGAAGAAGAAATCTAAGGAGAAGACAAAAAAACCCCACTGAAATAGAGGTTTGATTTGCATTTCTCTTTCTCTTGCTATCTGTATATTTATTATACAACTCATGTCCCATCAACCTAGATGCTGGCCACCAACAAGTGTTACATTAGCAAGTGGCATCTTTGGGTAGCTGTTGAGAGCTCACCACTGTGGACGCCAGAGTCCTGAATACTCAAATGACTTTTAGGTGAAGCTTTCATTGCCACAGGCCTCAATTTCCCAGAGCAATCCATCCTTCTGATACATTGTGTGCAATTAAAATGGCAGCCATTCATTTTGTGCTCATCAGAGGTGTGTTGCTGCAGTGGATGATTCCATCCCTCTGCACTTCACATCTCTTTGCAATGAAATGGAAGAGGAAACCGCTTGATGTCATGGAAAGGGATTCCACCAATATTGTACAGTGGGGTCTTGACTTGAGAACATAATCCGTATTGGAAGGCGGTTCTCAAGTCAAAAAGTCTGTAAGTCAAATCTCCATTGACCTACAGTTTATTGAAAACCGATTAATCCCGTAACAGGCCGTTTTTGTTTCATTTCGTTTTTTTTCTGGTCTGTAAGTCAAATCTCAGGCTGCAAGTCAAACCTAAATTTTGCGGCCAGAGAAGTCTGTAACTCAAAAAGTCTGTAAGTCAAGCCGTCTGTAAGTCAAGGGTCCACTGTAATGGAGGCTCTTCAAAAGGACTCACAAGGCGTGCCTCCTTAAACTTGGGAGTCAGTCCTATCCATGAGCTGTGACTGAAAGCCAAAAAGGGAAACAGAGCATCATCCTATTACTATTCAATTACAGAGAGCTTCAGTATGTCATTATATTCTTAAAAATAGCTTCCGTATCTAAGACTGCAAAAACAGGGAAGATGTCAGATACCCGCTAATAATGTGCCATAATAGGCCAGGTGTCCAAGTAAATAGCATCCCATTCTCTGAGATTTCAGGACAAAACCTGAAACCAGGAACAGAACTTTGCGATTTTTCAGGCTATGCTCTTACAATCTCCCAGAAACAGAGCAGGCAAGATTGGTAAACAAAAATAGGATGTTGGGTGGGCTGACAGTGTAAACGGGCCCAAGGTAAACAGGCCTAGAATCCAGACAGAAGCCACCCAACCAGACAATATGGCAATTAAGACATAAGAGGGAAAAAAAGAGAGAGAAGAATCCTAATCTAAGAAAGCAAAATATGCTCAGCTGCTGGAGCAGTTGATGCACTTCCAACAAAGGCTTGCATCCTGCACAGGTGATACAAAATAATTTTTTTCCAGGCTCTTTAATGCCGCTGGATTTGTAGAAGGCTAAATATCACCCCACTGGGAATTTATTCTCCCTCATCCTATACTGCCATTGTTGGGACTTGTCAACAAGAAGGCTCACAGGTTGTGGGGCTGATGCTCTGCTCCCTGTCATGTGCTATCAAGTTGCCTCTGACTTATGGTGAGCCTATAAATTAGTGACCTCAAAAGGAGCCTACCACAGCTATGGCTTCCTTTATTTTAGTTAATCCATCTCCTTTTTGGTCTTCCTCTTCATCTTCTGCCTTCAGATTTTCCCACCATTATTGTCTTTTCCGGTGCATCAGTGAAACAAGTGTCTCCATGTCCACAAGAGTATCTCCATACCCACTGGAACAATGGAAATTCTTCCATTAGGCAGGCAAGGCATCCACCCTCTTCCCTAGAGGCTAGAAAGAATGACAGAGGCCACATCATTTTTTCCAGCAGAGAATAAGGTAGTGTGGAGACCAGCTGAACCAATGTAAGACGCTATTCTGCAATTAGATATTAAATATCAAGGAGCCACACTGCCGTGTCTTTATATGGGAGGAAGAAGGGAATAAAACCAGAAATATCTGGTTGTATGCTCATCTACTGTTGACTTTGGATCTCCTCGCACTGCCCATCCTGCCTGATCAGTCCTGAGGGGCACCAGTCAGCACTGATAACGGTGCAAATATTGTGCACTGATAATGATGCAAATATTGTTTCCCACCCTCACCCCAGACTATTTAATGGCTTTGTTGTTTTAGTCTTTAAGTTTGACTTGGTAAGCACACCGCTAGTTAAGACTGCCTCAAACCACCATCTCCTTAAGTTCTGTATTTTACTGCAAAGACTGTGTTGCCAGAAATTTGCATTTGTAGTGGAAATAGGGTGATTTTTGTTAAAGCTTGGGGTTTCTTTTGGGAGGGGACACTTAAGGGACTGAATAAAGGGACAGGATGTGGCTTTGTTCAGGCTGCCTGCAATAGCAAACACTCTACATGACAAACAATGACTTGTCAGTATAGCAGGCCGCATTCCAGAAAGTGTCAGCACTATGATATATTTGATCAAGTCTCGGGGGAATTTAAGTGAAAAACATATGCAGACTATAATAGATGTGGCTCTGTATATTCCTTGAAAGCCAGAGTAAAACCTCTTTGTGGGTGTATTGCTTTGGCTGCAGCACAATTCTCGGAACAGATCTACCATCTGAGCTTGCCATATGTCTGTTTATCAGGGTGGTGGACTTGTAATGATTGGTGTATGCTGTTTTAAGCCCGCAAAAGAGATGGATGGTATACCATAAAACCACAGCACACTGCCTCTGAATGACTCTGCAAATCAGCATATCCAACGCTGCATTTCTCTTTTATGCCTTTGGCCTTCAGTAGTTGCACACACATATAAATGGCCTGGATTCTTACATCCTGTTTCCACACCTAGTGGCCTTCAGAAGTATCAGGGTCAATCCAGCCCTTAGCTTCCCATAGGGAAAGAAATCTCCCAGTTCCATCACTCAGCAATTTCCATAAGCATCATTATCATCTGCATGGCATAAATGTTATTCTTTGCCATCAAGGAATGAGACACTGTTTTTACAAATTGTCAGCAAACATTCCTCAGATGTGCCACTGCTATCCTGTGACAGACTCCAGTCCGTAGCTTGGGGAAGTTAGTTTCCTAGATACGCCTCCCAGATTCCCTCAGCCAGCACATCAGCCCTCCTCTGAGAAATGGAAGCAAGCAGATGATCTTGCCCTCTTCTCTGAGTCTAATAGATCAGCACTTGATCTATTAGACCAAGTCTCACCCAGATCTCTGTTACAATCTATCTCAGCTGGACCAAGCCACCTGGCCTCCCTTTTGGCATGCTCTTGGTCAAGTGGGGGCAGATTTGTAACACGTATGTACTTCCCATACCATGAGGCAGTACTTAAAAAAGATGTTTTTGGTGACATGTCTCCACATCTAATCAAACTTATCCCATTGTCCTATGTATAATTCACACAAATTTACACACAACAAGTCAACGCCACCAAAACCCCAGCCGTGAAACCCCGCCTCTTCTCTTGCCCATGTGCTCATATGAGTTTTTCTGTTTCTTAGAAATGGAAAACTAGAAGCATGCGAGTGAGTGAAGACCACACTTGCTCCCCCCTCTTTTCTCATGCTCACCCTTTCTAGACAATGCAGCAGAGAAGCCTGGGCCTATGCTGCCAACCAAGAGACACTATGAACAGTTACCTCTGCCCGTTCACTCACTCCACTCTCTTCTTCTGGATGGTACAACATGGAGGGCTTCTAACAGCAATGTGAACATTCACACCCATGTAACTCGGAAATAATTACTGTGCAGATTGGGTCTCTTCATCTTTGACTCTATATGTGCAAGGCCCCTATTTGAGCACAGTGTTCAGTGAAGGGCTGCCAGCAAGCACATTCCTGCTCTTTCACTACACATGGAATCTACACTGGCTGATGGAAGGCGTCATTTCACTAGAGGGCATATTGTAAAAACTGACAATGTGCAATTAAACCTTTTATTCCACCCAGCTGAAGGATAGCGACATTGTTTATTCTCCTTCCTATCTTGTATAGTTTTAGTAGAATACTCCCAATATCTTCCCTACCACATCAGTGTTTTCTTTTCTGCTAATTATCATCGGTTTGTGCACAGGAATGTGATGTGTCTGTCTGTATTCTTGTGGGAACCCAGGATTTAATCTCAACGAGGGTGTGCCAGGTCTCACCCTTGAAATCTGTTTCCAGTCTCACAGCTGTCCCTTTCCTAGATTCCAGTTGCCAGAATTGCCCAGTTCTTGGGCTACAGTTCTGGCTCAAACTGGAGATCACTGAAAAGCTACCCCCCCCTTTTCTTCTGGTTTGAAATTAGGAATGGCACTCAAGTTCGAACCTGTGCATCCTCATATGTGTACCTCCCTGGGTCTTTGACATTTTGGCTTGTTATCTCATAGCTGTGAGAATCCAGGTTGATGGCACTCTGGGCCCCAGGGGCCAGGAACTCTTGCCAGATCTCTTCCACTCTGGGCGCTACATCTTGCAAAGGCTGTTTCTTGAGGTCTTGGACTGCCAACCAGAACCTGCATTGAGGCAAAAAAGAAGAACAATCAACACAAGCCGCCAAGGCTCAGACTGAATCTTGTCCCACTTGTGTCCACTTAAGTTAAAGGGAGTTCATCCACTTCCTGCACAGTGGCCGATATTTTGGACAGCTCATACTTACATCAACTAAGCCAACACACCCTCCCATTTCCTCCCCACAGTATTTAATAATGGCTGAAAAATGAAAAACCTAGCTATTAGGGAAATAAGACACTTTAAGGGCATTTTTATATATTTGTAGCTGAGTCCAGGAGAGTCACAGAAATGGGAGAATGAAATGGATTCCATTCTGTTTCTCTCAACGATCAACATTGCCTTTCTGACTGTGAACCTTTCTGGAAGTGTATGGTTTTAATGTGCAGCAAGTAGCCTCGTAGACATGTACTTTCCCTCATGATGGCCATATCGCTTTACACACAACATGGCGTCCAGAACACCACTGAACAGAACCATTTGTGCCACAGGAAAGGGGTGAGGGACAGTTTCGATGCAGTTTCTGTTTGTACACTCCACCCGAAAAGAGCATACATCCTCACTACAAGATGGCAAGGACTTCTTTAAAAAAAAACTATGGAGGTTATCTTGGGACACTAGGTTTTGTGCATTTCACATTAGCAGTAGTGCTTCTCTCTTGAGTCTGGGTCTAGAGTACCTGACAGTGGGGCTTTGGGAGAGATTTGGGATAGTGCTGGTGCACTGCTGTTCCCACGACCCAGAACTACCCCTGCCAGGGCTAGCCAGCTTTATCTTGGATGCTGTGTTGAGGTCAACTAGACTATTCATAGCCGTGGACTTCAACATTCATGCCAAATCCCATCTCTCAGGTCCATCCTCCAGAGATGGAGCACTCACCACCTCTTGAGGTAATTGGTTCCGCTGTGGTAGTGCTCTAATAATTAAGACGTTTTTCCTGACATTTAACTGAAATCTGGTTCCCTGTAACTTGAGCCCATTAGCACATGTCCTGCACTCTGAGATCATCGAGAACAGACCCTGGCCCTCCTCTGTATGACAGCCTTTCAAGTATTTAAAAAGTGTTATCATATCTCCCCTCTGTCTTCTTTTCTCAAGGCTAAACATGCCCAGTTCTTTCAATCTTTCCTCATAAGGCTTGGTTTCCACTCCCTGATCATCCCTGTTACCTTCCTTTGAACTTCCTCCAGTTTGTTGGCATCCATCTTAAATTGTGGTGTCCAGAACTGGATGATAAGGTCTAACCAGTGCTGAATAGAGGGAAACTAGTACCTTACAGGATTTAGAGACTGTTAATGCAGTCTAAAATAGGATTTGCCTTTTTTTTGTAGCCACCTCACACTGTTGGCTCACATTGAGCTAGTGATCTACAATGATTCCAAAATCCTTCTGACTTGTACTATTGCTGAGTCAGGTATCCCCCACCTTGTAACTGTGTGTTTGGTTTCTTTTTCCTAGATGCAGTACTTTGCACGTATTCCTATTGAATTTCATCTGCTGTTTTCAGCCCAGTGCTCAAACCCATCTAGATCATTTTGAATTCTGTTTCTGCCTTCCAGAGTATTAGCTCTTCTACCCAATTTTGTGTGATATACAATTCAGGCTGATCCTCACTCCCTCAGCAGTGTGGTTGATCTGGCCGTGGTCACTGCTGGTAGTGGTCACCTCTCTTCTGCCTGATTAGTTCAGTTTGATCCTGTGACACTGGAATAGCCCTCCAGGGCACTGGTAAGTTGCAGACCGACCTACTCCTCACTTAACCCTTGCCCTGGAAGGCTGATTAACACCACCAGCAAGGTTATGATTGATTGGGCCATGAACATTATACATGCCTCACTGAGGGAGGGATGCCTTCTCTCACTAGTAAAGGAGGCCATCATCTGGCCCATTATTAAATGACCTCATTTGGCGTTGGACAACCTTAACAACTACAGACCTATCGGCAATATTACTTTCATAATTGGCAAGGTAATTGAGCAGGTAGTGGTGTGGCAGCTCCAGCAATACCTGGAAGATGAGAACTGTCTTGATCCATTCCAGTCTGGGTTTAGGTCACAATGAGGTACCAAGACTGCAGTGGTCGTGCTGCACAATGACATTTTAACAGAGGCCGATAGCGGAGGATCTCCCCTATTGGTGCTCCTTGATCTCTCAATGGCTTTTTGTACTATCAACCATGCTATCCTTCTGAACAGGCTGTCAGAGGTGGGGATTGGGGGACTGGCTCTTAGCTGGTTCCAGTCCTTCCTAGAGAGCTGTATTCAGAGAATCCAACTTGGGGATGAATTGTTGCCCCCCTGGACTCTCAATTGTGGGGCTGCCCCAGGGGTCCTCAGTATTTCCCATGCTTTTTAATATCTACATGAAACCACTGGGCGGGGACATCAGGAGATTTTGAGTAAGGCAACATCAGTATGCGGATGATAAGCAATTCTGTCTCTCCTTTTCTTTTTTTAATAAACATTTTATTAGTTTTTCAATCTATCTACATTGTTTTGTGCTTGTCAAACATTGTGTTACATGCTTTACTTACAATTATTTGTTTTTTACATCTCAGCATCTTCCCGGTTATCCCCCCAAATTCTAAACATCTTTCAAACATTCAAACCATTAATATACAAATTTTAGTATATAATATGACTACTATCATAATATTACTCTCATATTATATAATATTCTCTAGGTCTTCTAATAACATTCTTATTGAAAGTGGTTGCAGATCCATGACCCAGCTTTATATCTAGTTTAGTTTACCTAAAATAAAAAACCACCACATTACATCTTTACCCTGATTAGGGCTTCCTTATTTCAATTTAATTCTTCTTTTTAATATACAGAATATACCCTTTTACAGTTCCAGATGTTAAATATATACATGTTTTCAATATTAAGGGGCCCTTCCTTGTTTTCCCTTTTTTCATCTTTCTAGGTAATTCCCTCTCTAATTTCTCTTTTCTCATTTAATATTTCTGTGTCTCTAAGCATTCTGCCATCTTTCATGTCCTCTGAAACCATTTTGTACATCTGATTTATGTCCACTAACTCTTTATGTACTTGGTCTATTTCAATGGGTCTTCCAGGCTTTTTTTGGTTAATTTTGCTGTTTTTTTCCCTTTGTCTTCCCTTAGTACTCTCCTCTGGTCCAAGACTGACGTTTCTCTTAGATTAACTTCCTCCAGCT